CTTTTATGCATCATGCATTGGATTCCAATGTGCAAATGTAGTAGTAGTAGTAATTGATAATCATTTTCCTTTTTATCTTTTACAACCATCTCAAAGTCCTGCCCTTCCTTAACATCATATGCAGGACTGGTCCAAACATTAGCAGAGTGTGGCAGCAATGGCAGGCAGAGGATGCTGGGAACATCCTGCCTAGCTGTCCCCCCATCAGAGAGGTGGTGTGCCTTATCCTCACCTGTCGCTCTCAGGTGTAGCTGAAGATGCTGTTCCATTGCTAGTGTTTAAAGTAAGACTGAACTGCCAGTTCATTCAGCTTCTGTACATGTAATTGGAGCTGGAAGAAGAAAGCCAGGTACTACCTTGTCCTTTGCCTCAGGCTGCAAAATGTCTTGTGCCGGCCCTGATCTTTGATCACCTTATGCCCCACGTAGGCAAAAACATCTCTGTCCTTTTTTCCTTTGCCTCCCCCCCTTCCTCTCTTTTCCTGGGCACCGGCCCAGCCTGTTTCCGCAGCAGCTCCAGAGCACACAGTGCAATTTAAAGATATTGGCAGCCAGCTTTCAATAATTCCCTGTTAGATTACTGTCTGCGGAAGAGTATATATAACACAACAGCTACAAATGCTCGGAGCAAAATCTTCAATAACAACTCCGTGCTTATGATAACTTTCCCAATTTCCTGCGCCGACACCACCCCTCTCTCTTTTGCTCGCCTCCGTAGCAGCTTGTTTCTATATTGAACATCTGCCTTGGGATCGACTGTCACAAAAAGTAATAAACACATCAATCCAAAAGAAAGAATATTGTTGCAGCTTCTCTCTCCAGCACCCTCCCCCCCTCAAACCCTTCCCGAAACCAGCTACCCCCACCTCCTCTGACTACTTAACCAATCAAATTGGCAGCTGGCAGCGTGAAACTAAAGAGAGGAAGACTCAGAGGCGCATTTGAGCGCAGGACATTCCTAACGATCCTGCACACCTGCTGCCATTTTGCACACTCAAAACTGCCAGCGCAATCTTAATAAGTTAATTACCATTTGAAGCGCCAATTATGGATTTCAACCTTTGTTTACAGGTATCAAGCAATGGGATTAATTTGTAAAGCTGTTGCTGAGCCAATATTTTGACAGCTATTCCTTTGATTTCATTGAGAGCTGCAGGAAATGAAGAGGGAGGTGTGTGTGTGTGTGGAGGGGAGGCCCTCTTTAACGAAATATAAGGGAAAAGAGCAATAAGCAAAAGCCTTGTCGCTTATTACCAATAGACCCACAACATGGTGAAAGTGACAGTAATTAACATTGTTCTCACTTTCCCCCTCAGGCTTTGGCAAACACAATGACAACACCTGAAAGGAACAACAAAAGCAATTTGCCATTCCCACTTATCCTAATATAAATATCCACAGATTATTCAAACGCGATGGAGATCAAATCTAATCTTGCCACACTGCTTGTAAATTACAGATTACATTTTTTTTCGCTGTCAAGTTTTATTGATTTCAGAGAAAGTAGCAGCAGCTGATCTGGGAGACCAATCTAAGAGCAAAACTACCTACAGGCATTTAAAACAAAATAAAATTAAAATGCTACCATACCTTGAAACTCAGTAATACAGACATCTTGCAATCTGTGAATAAAAAGTGTGTTTACTTTTAAGGTGTGCACAAGCACCTGGGAATGAGGCTTTATGCAATGGGCAGCCTCTAAGTGACTGTAGCAGCTAAATTCCAACAGCTGCTCCCAGCCATAAGCAGAAAGCCCTCTTCCATCAGCTGCTCATCATTCAATTGCTCACCTGCTGCTGTCTTTGTTGTTACTCCTAGGGTTGCCATCATAGCACCCATGGGTGCGGTGGCACCTTTTGAGGACTTCTCCTGAAACCTGTAAAGCATCTGAGTCCTGCCACTTACTGTCCCTTCTTAAGATGGCAAGAGTGGTTACCTTACCCCTCCTTGAGAAGTGCAAATAAATGAAAGAGGAAGCTCTTTCCCAGTTCTTCCTTCGACTCTATAGGATTTCAAGGCCCAGGGCAACACCTGAGTGGAGAATGTGGAGCACCCAAGAGGGTAGGAAGGAAAGGGGAGTGACCTGGAAAACTAGAGGGAGGGACATGGAGTGAATAGAGGAGAGAAAGTGAGGTGCCACGGGCATCAGCAGAGGAGATGGAGTGGAATGAGTATTATGTGAGCAAGGGGAGAGAGAACATAAGGAGGGATCTGCTGGATCAGGCCAGTAGCCCATCTAGTCCAGCTTCCTGTTCTCAGTGCCCAACCCGGTGCCAGTGTGAAGCCCGAAAGCAGCCCTCCCCCCACCTGTGATTCCCAGCAACTGATGTTCAGAGGCATACTGCCTCTGATAGTGGAGGTAGAATAAAGCTGTCATGGCTAATAGCCATCAATAGTTTTAGCTTCCATGAATTTGTCTAAGCCACAGGTGGGGAACCTTTGGCCCTCCAGATTTCCGGAACTACAACTCCCATCAGCTCCAGCCAGAGAGGCAAGTCTGTATCAATCCTCATCATTTTTACAAGGGTTGCTCTCAAGTTGTTGTTGTTGTTGTTTAGCCATTTAGTCGTGTCCGACTCTTCGTGACCCCATGGACCAGAGCACGCCAAGCACTCCTATCTTCCACTGCCTCCCACAGTTTGGTCAAACTCATGTTAGTAGCTTCGAGAACACTGTCCAACCATCTCATCTTCTGTCATCTTCTCCTTGTGCCCTCAATCTTGCCCTCAAAGCCACCACCCAATCAAAGGCACTGCTGTCACTGCAGACGATACGCAACCTGAGCAGGTGATGCTGAAAAATTTCTCAAAATTCCAAATGTGCTTACTGGTCACCCATGTTTCAAGTGTCAGCAATAAGCACAGGTGGAGGAACATGGGAGGAACGGCAGCAGTAGCTCTGAGGGAAAGTGTTGGAAGGGTGATCTCTGTCAGAACTGTTAGCTGCTACAGTCATGCAGAAGCTTTTCCACCACATGCATCTTTGCTTAAATGTCTTGCTAATTGAGCGTAGGCTAAGACAGCCAGGTTGCAATCTTGGCACTTACTTCTGTAATGGGCCTCAGGGCAACTTGCCCCCTGGGTATACCCTAATCGGATCTCATCTGACCAGCACTGGAAAGCAAAAATTGTAATAGCAGGGGAACATAGCAAGCTGCTTCATTGGTCCACCAATGGTCTGCCTAGCTCAGTGTTCACACATCTAACTCAGTTTTGTCTACACAAACTGGTAGTAGTTCCTTAGAATGGCTCTCCAGAGTTTTGGGCAGGAATCTTTTCCAGCCCTACCCAAAGATACAAGGGAGTGAAGCGGGGAACTTTTGCATGCAAAGCATATGCTGTATGTAGCCCATTTGCCCTGTTCAGGAAGGCTGGACAATGAAGCAACTCAGAATGGGAGATTATACAACAGCCGGAGGCTCCACCCCTTCCTGGACCTCAGCTACACCCTGATCAAAGAGGCACCTCCACGTACTTCCTGAGAATCCTCCTGGGTAGCTAGTCAGACACTTGGGCGACAGCTCTGCCTCACCATCTCCTCTTCTCCTGTGGCCCTGGGGGGAGGTTGCAGGGTCTCCTGAGTGCCAACCAGGCACCTGGGCAGCTGGCATGAGGATTTCAAGTTCTTCAGCAGAGATGTCTAGATCTGATAACTCATCCAAGTCGTTGGCAATGTGGAGATCTGCTGGAGGTCCTAGTTCTTATTGCCCATCATCTGGGAAGATTCAAAGTCCGTGCTGAACCCTGACACTAAATTGTGGCCATTTCCAAAATGGAGAGTGTGGCTTTTCAGCAAGCAATAGGGCCTTAACTTGATCATAAACACCAAATCCCCAGTTCATAGTTTCCCTTCCCTTGAAATGAGTTACTGTTTGGAATCCTAACATTTTTTTTAAAGCGGATACTTACATACCGGTAGATCAAGGCTGGGATATGATTCTCCACTTTTCCATTACCAAGCTTCTTCCAACACAGCAAACATCAAAAGCAAAATTGCCTGTCAAAGCAGCTGTCTTCCTAGCAAGCGTGACACAGAGAAAGTCAAGTTGGAGTTGAGAGTCTCTCTCTTTTCTTTCTTTCTTCCCCTCCAAGGGAAGAAGGTGTTCCGTTTTTAATATACAAAAGCATGCCAATTTCCCAGAGCCGGCATGGCAGTCGAGGAGTGTGAGCAGTGCCTTCGACAACAATAGCCAGAGGGCACTTTAGGCTCCGCAACTCACCTCCCCGATTGGAGCTGAGAAGAACTACAATCGGGAGATGAACGAAAAATAAATAAAGTGCCAATTTCACCCGAAGCTTTTTCCTATATTGCAAAGACTCCACTCCTGCCTGAATTGGATTCTGTCATGAAACATTAATTGAGTGAGACAACTAAATATTAATAGAAGACTAGCAATAAATAAATAAATAATAGGCGCCCACCTTTTTGGTATCTGGGCGTGCAAATCTCTCCTCTTCCTCCCCATGTTGCAGGGGACCCCCAGGTTGCATTAACTGGGAGGAAGCACCTTCATTTCCCCCAATGAAATGAAATTTCCTTAGTCTAGGGGGCCTAGACTAAGCCCTCGCTGCCAAGCTGGCTCTGAATTGGCAAGCCCAGGGACAAAGGAAGGGGCTCTGAGTCCAGCAAGTGTGCTATGAGCCAGCTTTTGGGTGGGTGGCTTTATAAAAGAGGATTAGAAAAATTCATGGAAGATAAGGCTATGAGTGGCTTCTAGCCCTGATGGCTGTGTTCTCCTGAATGCCAGCTGCTGGAGCTGCAGAAGGGCAGAGCACTGTTGCATTCAAGGATTACTTGTGTGCTCCCCGTAGGCATCTGATTGGCCACTGTGAAAACAAGACTCTGGACTAGATGGACCCCCTTTGGCCTGACCCAGCAGGTTCTTCTTAGGCTCTTGTTTTCTTCTGTTCTTATGAGACAATTAGAATAATAGAATCATAGTATGGTTGGAATGGGACCCTGAGGATCATCTAGTACAACCCCTGCAATGCAGGAATCTTTTGCCCAGCACCGAACTCGAACCCACAACCCTGAGATTAACAGCCTTATGCTCTACTGACTGAGCTATCCCAGCTTAGGTTTGTTCACACATTATACTGAACACAGGCAGAAGTTATCTCTGCACATGTGTTAAATTTGCAAGTTTGTACAGCTCAACCCTGGTGTACACAGATTGTACCCTGGTCGGATGTTACGTGTGAATAACCATATGTACGAGTGCACAGCTCAGCTGATTCATGCTCAGGTACACAGATGGAACACACACTGGATGCAACACTGATTTAGTATTCATTTTATTTACAGCACTCTACATATTTTCCATAAAATCAAACATACATTAAAATTATCAATAAAAACCAGGGTTAAAAACAAGCTAACCACCTTCTTCTTCTTCTTTGTTTTTTCTACAAAATATAAATAAAACCAGCCATTAAAAATATTCATTATAAATTAAAATTACATATTAACATACATGTCCACTTTAGTTAAGGAGATAAGTGCTCTGGTTAACAGTCATCCTTCTGATGCCTTCCAGCGGACACTCCAATGTGCAAGACAGTAGAGAATATCTGCATAGGAAGATAAGAAGCTGCCTTGCACTGAGTAGACCATTGGTCCATCTAGCTCAGCACGCTGACTATAAGTAGCTCTCCAGGATTTCAGATAGGAACATCTCTCAGTCTTACCTGGAGATGCCAGATAGATATTACACACAGGACCTTCTGCATGTAAAGTAGATGCTCTGCCACTGAGCTATGACCCTTCCTCGGTTGTAGCCCAAATACTAGAGCTTATGGGAGTTGTAGTCCAAAACAACTGGAAGGCACCAGACTGGGGAGGCGAATAATGCTGGCATAATGTGTCCTTCCAGATTCATCCATGCGTTATATTTTCAGGTGCTCCTTTTAAAGAATACTTTGGGTCTACATAAAAAAGATACAATGTGTGAAGCAGCCCTAAGAGTCTCCCTCCCTCCATCTCTCTCATTTTCTCTCCTGTTGAGGGTCACCCCCACGACCATGGGGAGCGATACTCTGTTTCAGAGCACATTATCACTGATTGGCATTCAAAGTGACTTCATTGAGCGTTTCTCTGGCCTCCTAATGCAGATGAGGTCTAAAAACCTTTCCCCCATCTGCCTCCGAGGCTTAAGTACATGAGATCCCGGTGCCATTGCGCTAGCTTATATTTTAGCACTAGGCACAGCTGAGAAGATTTATGCCCCTCCACGTGACGGTCCCATCCATCCATCACTATTAGCCACAATAAAATCTTTCTCCTTGTTTTTAAAAGCCCTTTGAGTTAGATTCCATTATGGAGTTAACATATCACAGATGGTCAAGCTGTCATTCAAGGCAAAAAGAGAAAGGGGTGGTGGAAAGCAATGCTTTGCCGTCTTGGGATGCTGATTAACCAGAGATCAGGATGGTTGACCCGCCCTCTGTGAGCTTCAACACATTGAGAGCTCTGCATGCGAAGCCAGGGAGAATCCTCATCTGAGGGGAATGGCATTCCTGTTCCAAAACGTCAGAGGCACCATGAGATGATCCTGCTGGATCAGCCCAATGGCCCATCTAGTCCAGCATCCTGTTCTTCCAGATGCCTCTGGAAAACCTGCAAGCAGGACCCATGCAGAAGTGCACTCTCCCCTCCTGTGGTTTCCAGCAACTGGCTGGAACCATACCACCTCCAACCATGAAGGCAGAGCATAGCCATCACGGATAGCAGCCATTGATACCTCTCTGTTCCATGAATTTCTCTAATCCTCTTTTAAAGCCATCCAACTTGGTGGCCATCACTGCATCCTGTGAGAGCGAGTTCCATTGTTTAACTCTGCACTGCATGGAGAAGTCCATTCTTTTACCTGCCCTGACTCTTCCCACCTTGAGCTTCATTGAATGCCCATGAGTTCTAGTGTTATGGGTGTAGGAGGAAATCTTTTCTGTATCCACTTTCTTCATGCCATGCATAATTTTATAAATTTTTGTCATGGCAGTTCTTACTTGCCTTTTCTCTAAATGAAAAAGTCTCAAAACGTTCTATGAAGCGGTATATAAATTGTTGAAACAAACAAATGGGTAGTCAAGATGGTGCCCTCCAGATGTTGTTGGACTCCAACTCCCATCAGCCCCAGCCAGCATGGCCACTGGTGATGGATGATGGGAATTGTACCCTCACAACTTCCAGATGGTGTCTTGTTGACTCACCTTGGTCTACAATATCTCAGTGCTGATTACATTATCTGACAGAAGCTGTCTAAGGTTGCAGACAGGAGTTCTTCCCGCAGCCCTACCTAGAGATACTATGGGTTGAATATTGGAACCTGGTGCCCTATAACTGAGCCAAAACTCCTCTTTCTAAAATAGGAACATAGGAAGTAAGCATCAGATGTTGCCTTATACAGAGTCAGAAAGTCTTTCCCAGTCTTACCTGGAGATGCCAGGGATTAAACTGAGGACCTTCTGCATGCAAAGCAGATGCTTTGCCACTGAGCTATGGCCCTTCCCTTAAATTGTTCAGCGTCAATGGGCTAATAGCAAAAGAAAACAATCGCCTTTGACGTCCACAAATGCAGGGCCTACCACACAGGTGCCATGTTTTACAACCCCGCTCTATCTTGTCATTCACGAGAGTTCCCCGAACAAATTGCCTGTCATATTTGAAGATAAAACCTGACAGTGGCAGAGCTGACAAGTTGTCCTCAACCCTGACATACAACACAGAAAACTTGAATTTCACTCGACTCTGCTGTGGATGGGCTTGTCTTCAGAGATTCGTGGCAGAGCAGAGCACCAGCAGGAAAGAAAAAGAAAGGAAGGGAAGATTTCAAAATACCTCCAACTGAATGTCAGTCTTTATTTTTTTAAAATATATATATATATGGCTTTATATAGGGTTCTAAGCACTAGTTTGGCCTTCCTCATTTACTTATTTTACCACTGCCCCCCCCTTTTTACACCCCATGTTGTATGTCTCTGTAAAAATAATAACACAGGGGTCTTTTAAGTAATGAAAACACTGAAGCAAAAGGGGGGGGTGAGATACATTTTCATTACTCTTTAATACAGAAATGTATTTTCTTTTATAGGCCATTTCATTTAAAATATATATAGAAAAAAAGCCCTGGAGGTATCCCTAAGAATATGTTCTATAAATAAGCACTAAACAGCAATTACCTGGCAGTTTCAGTAATTATAGATCTCATGCTTCCTCAGTGGCTTGCCTTGCGAAGCTATTGGATTCTGCCTCGAAAATTACCATAAAGATTCTGCCTTAGATAAACAGATAAGGTTACATCTATTTGCAGGAGCCTTTCTAATTACCAGAGAGGATAGCTGGGGATTGCAAACTTAATGATATTTTGCTATTGCACATGACTGACAAGTTAGATCTGTTGGAGAGCACATGTGACCACTGATCCTTTAGTGAACACAGGGAGTTGTCTTAAACCAAGTCAGACCATTGGTCCATCTATCTCAGTGTTATCTACCCTGGGTGCTATCCAACTGACTTGTTCCGTCAGCACAAGGATTTCCACTTGTGCAGTGGAAATTCTCCCCCTCTCCTCAACCCATGCCCTCCCCAAAAATCAGCCCCAGAGCATTGGTGGAATCCCTCAGATTTAGTGGGCACATGCAAGGGGGAGAAAAGCTCCATTGTGCAAGCAGAAATCCTTGCGCTGATGGAACAAGTTGGCTGGATACCACCCAGCAGCAGTTTCAAAGGAGAGTCATTCCCAAACCTACCTGGAGATGCCAGGGATTGAGCCTGGGACCTTATGCCTGCAAAGCTTTTCTGCTAAGCTGTGGCATGTCACTAATGGGAAGGTTTGGCCTCCTGGAAGAGAGCAAAAGCAGATTTGTAAAAGGATCTATATTTACATTTAGGCTGGCCACGTCGCCTAGAAGACAGCCCTCTGTTTAAAGTCCTCCAAGTCAAGGTTAACAATAAAGACCTATTAGACAGGTGAGTCAAGGCCTTGATGTTGCCTGTTAAAAACGCTTTCCTTAAAAAACAACCAGTTCCCAAGGGCCTGTTGGAATAAAACAAGGAAGGGTACAGTCTAACTTCTCTAGGGAAGGGAGTTCCAAAGTCTGGGAGCTCAGTGTGGACAGAGGCCCTCAGCTTTGGATGTTCCATTCATACACACTTTAGGACTGTGCACACCCCTTACACTTAACGCATATGGCTTCCCCCAGGCCACACCCCTTCCCAGGCCACACCCCTCAAAGATATCACATTCATGCCATACATTTAAAGCACATGGATCCCCCTAAGCATCCTTGGAACTGTAGTTTTCCACTTTCAGCACCCTTCAAAAACTAAAGTTCCCATGAGTTTTTTGGGGAAGTCATGTGCTTCCAATGTGTGGTGTGTACACAGTCTAAGTCTGGTGGCAGAGATGCATGAATAAAGATATGAGGTGACAACAACAAGAAAGGTCAGAAAAGCACTATATTCATCCTGACAGTTCCCATTGTTACCTTGCGATGTGTGGCTTATTGCCTGGGTTCTTCTTTGATGTGTTTTACTTTATATATATATAAAGCAAATGCTCAATGTTAAGGAAGTTAAGTGAGGAGATTTAGCCTTATAAAGACATAGAATTTTTCAAGGGAGGAAAAAACACACTGTTTTGGGGTTTGCCAGAAGAGAGGGTGTTGATCAGTAAAGCAATATAGCCATCACCTTCTGGCATAACATAACTCTTTCCTGTCGAAGTCTATCTAGAGCTTGAAATATCTGTCTTTGTAAACACCAAGCACTCACATTCAAAATGAGTTGTAGCCAGAGGGGATGCAGGAAAGAAAATTTAGGGTCTGGAATTTGGTTGGTATTCAGACAATGACAGCAGAGGCAGCTAAGGAGGAAGATTTTGTTCTGTGCAAGAAATTGCAGGTGCCAAGCTGATCAGTGCTTCACAGAGGCCCCTAAAAGAGCAGTGGGGGGAAATGGGGGCAGTTCCCCACCAACCACAGTCTGTGCTCAGCTAGCCCCCACCTGTCTACCTTCTGAATTACAACTAGCCCAGAGGCTGGTATTAACTTGTTAATTACAACTAGCCCAGGTACTGGTACAATGGCTGGTACTGGCAGACACCTTCCTCCTGCTTAGTCTCAGTGTTACCTTTGTAGAACTCAACTGGGAAGAGGATGGAGACAAAACTAGAATTAGTTGGCTCTGTATGCCATTGGATCTTTGGCACCACCTACTGTTGGGCTCCCTGCCTTCCACCCTACCAGTCCCGTCACGTCTAAGGAAGTTGTGTGGAACTTGAGTTGGCTTTTGCAAAGGGCTTTGGTTATTATTATTATTACCTGTACTTCACCAGCAAATCTGTTCTTAATTTAGATTTATTTAATTTTAATTTTATTTAATTAATCTTAAATTTAAATTAAAAACAGTTAACACAGATTAGACTCACATCTCAGGTATCAAAGGTAAAGAAGAAGCCAGACACTCCCATGTATGAAAAGTGTGCAGGGGCCCATTATTAAGATGACTATGTGCCCTAAGAGGCTGGATCAATGCACAATAATTTCTATAACTCAGCAGACCCAAATATTAACTGTGAGGATCAAGATCCCCTTGATCCCCTAAAGCCCAAGCAAACAGATGCACCTTCAGGCGACACTGCAAGATTATCAATTGGGGGAAGATGACGACAACAAGTGTTCCTATTTGGGAACTCCACAAATAGGGTACCACAAGGCTTACAGTGGGATCCCCAACTGCAAGGAGAGAAAAAAGGCTTCCTGTTCTCTGTCTCTCTAATTGTAGATGTTGGACATGGTTCCTGTTGGGAATATGGCAAGATGAAGGATGCTTGTAACCAGAGAGTACCAGCATCTCTTTGTTCAGAGGTGGGGAACCTGTGGGCCTCTAGATGCCCTTGGACTACAGCTGACCATGCTGGCTGTGCCTGATGGGAGCTGGAGCACAGCAATATCTGGAGGGTGCCAGGTTCCCTACTTCTGTTGCTCAGATTGTTAGGCAAGCCCAACTCAGAGGAGTCAGGTCACATCACATGATCATCTATGGCAAATCAGCATAAAGGAAAGGAAATGGCTTCCTTGTTGGTGTTTCTGGTTTCAATGCATTTCCTTTCTTTGGCCAGAACTAGATGTTGGAATATAGGCTGAACCCCCACCCGATATTCCTCATTCTCCAATTTGTGTTTTTATGTGGCATTAGTCTTTTAATTTAGTGCCTGGGCAGAACAATCCCCTTCCTTCCCCCGACCCCTTTTCTCCTACCCAGATGTGACCCGATCTACCTGCTTCAGAGACAATGGATGGGTTTTGACCCATGTTCTTGGAAAGGTCGTTGAAGAGCTCATGCCTTGTGGAATGTGGTTCTTACCTCCGTGAATCATTGTAACTAAACGCTGTAATTATCATTCCCTTGAGCTGCATCAAATGTTATTTAACGGCCCGTCTTCTCATTGTAGCCTGTCTCTCAAAAGTCTTTGTGCCCAAGGGACTGGCAATCTATTACCGAAGGAACTGTTCTGACCCCATTAGCCAGGGAGGCAGAAGTAACTTTGAACTACAGACAATGGAGGTGCGAGAGGACCGGCATTGGCAAGGGAAGGAGATCAGCATTAGGAAAACATTAAATAATGGAAGGCCAATGTTGAGCTCTGGCACTGCCTGCTTTATAAATGACCCTCCTGATGTTCTGCACACAGGAACATAGAAGGAGCCTTGCTGGATCCGACCAAAGCTGGGTACTGTAGGGGCAGAGACACAGGTCACAAATTTGCCTCTGGATAAATTGAGATTGTTGCTGGCTGAAGTGTAGGAATGGGTGAATCTGTCAATTTCAGTTTCCTCCACGTCTCATTTTTCTCGTCTTAAATTCCATTCCTCACATTTCTACAGAGGTTTGTGATTTCAAAAAAGAAGAAGAAGCACTTGTGAAATTCATCAGCATTTTTAAAGAGAACTTCTACCACTGTATACATTTTTATATGCAATTTTACTTAATAGTGTGTGCTATATAATGCATTTTATTTTATTTTTGCCATTGTATCAGCTGATCTCCAGGGCTTGCGAAGTGCTGCGCAATGACTCTATGTAAGCCTTGACAATCAGTGTAAAGCAGGCATAGGCAAACTCGGCCCTCCAGATGTTTTGGGACTACAACTCCCATCATCCCTAGCTAACAGGACCAGTGGTCAGGGATGATGGGAATTGTAGTCCCAAAACATCTGGAGGGCTGAGTTTGCCTATGCCTGGTGTAAAGAAGAGGAGGTTGGATTTGATATCCCACTTTATCACTACCCTAAGAGTCTCAAAGTGGCTAACATTCTCCTTTCCCTTCCTCCCCCACAACAAACACTCTGTGAGGTGAGTGGGGCTGAGACACTTCAAAGAAGTGTGACTAGCCCAAGGTCACCTAGCAGCTGCATGTGGAGGAGCAGGGAAGCAAACCCGGTTCCCCAGATTATGAGACTACCGCTCTTAACCCCTAGACCACACTGGCTCTCCTTACCTTGG